GTACATAATTAAATGCAAATTATGAAATGAGGGCTTTATTTGCATAATTAATGAGAAAACTCTATAATTACAGTGTTTTATATAATAGTACTTTCATACGTGTAATGGCAGATGGAACATCAAAATATACCAATTATGCAAATGATGACCTAATTTGCATAAATAATGGAAAAATTCTGTGACTTCATATTGGTGAATGATGGGAATTTTATACCTTGTGACATGTGTAAGTTACTTAAAGGTTAACATCACTATGCCTATATTGTGTTAATGTAGAAGTCATTTGCATAATTAATGAGGACGTGATGAAGTAAATTATGACAAAGGAGAGGAATTTTACATTAAAAATATTGTAATTTGAATTTAGAAAACCATAAATTGAACTAGATTGTGCTAATTACGACCTTATTTCCATAGTCAATGAGACAAAAAACATTTACAAAAACTCATATATTTCATGGAGGTATAAAATCTCAGAATTCTTGTTTGTGATGTGCTTACACCAGGGTATGTTATAGGCTACCCGCAACATCTTAGTGTAAGTACCGTCAAGTTTTTTGGACCTCGTAGTGTTCATGACCCAAGGATCGGACCCATATAAAAGAATAGCCTCAATACATACTTTTGTTTTGGTTTGTTTTCTAATGGAGGATTTTCATATTTTGTGCAGTGAATGGAGGGCGCTCCACGCCTGGGCAATCCTAACATTCATGTCATGATCGCTGTCAGTGTAACCTCCTAGGTTCTTAAAATCGGCAACTCGCTCAACCATCGGAGGCTAGGAGATTACTCACAGTTGTTGGATTTTTTTTATTCCAACATGTAATCACCAGACGTGGTGACGACACACTCAAGTTTTTTCAACTTATATTAATGCCGCAACCAACACAGGGGACAAATACATGACAGGGCAATACCCATTTACACCTGAGCTAAGTGAGGAAAGCCGTGTAAAGTGCCTTTCCGAAGGACACAAATTGGTGGCATGTCAGGACTCGAACCCAGGACTCTAAGTTCCGAGTCGCGTACTCTGCCGCTACGCCACACGACCCCACAGTAAGTGTTGGATTTAAGTGCATATTCTTGGTCTTAAATGCGTTAAGGTACAAACCAATTTGGCATGAGTTTTCAACTCTGGTGAGTAGTTTTTGTGCAAAAGATATGCAGTTTTCCAGTAAAGCTATGTCATCGGCAAAATCGAGGTCAGCCAGGGTTTCGTCCGGGTGCCGTCGGCTTCGTCGGCGACGGGGGATAAGTCCATCTCCGTTAGCTATAGAAGACTGCAATGCATAGTCAAGGCATATAACGAAGAGGAAGAAAGCCAAAGGGTCCCCCTGAAGGACGCGAGTATTGATGCTAAATGCATCTGTTTTTACTTCAGGAGTTATCACCAAAGCTGTGGTGTCGTCGTACATGACTCGAATCGCATTTACGACATCCAGCGGAATCCCGTATGCCTCCAATTTTTTTTTTTCATTTTGCGTTTTGTTTCAACTTAGAACGATTTTTGTTGCAGCATTGTGGGGCTGTGTTAAGTACCCCTCCCTCCAATGAGGCGCCACAGGCGGGGCTTTCTTTTTTTTTCGTTTTATTATTATTTCCCACAACTTTTTCCTTGATTTTGCTTAAACCTTGTGAGAATACTCGAGCTCGTGACCTCGACCCAAACCGGTGTAGGCGTGGCGAGCCGCACAGACAACATTGGAGCCTAGAGTCAAGCAATAGAGATTACCAGTTTATAGGTATTTATGAAGAATGCTAAAAGAATTCTTCATAAATACATATAAACTGGTAATCTCTATTGCTTGAGTTTAAGATTCATCTTTTATCAATTTGAATATTGAAAGGAATACGTTAGGGATGTTAGGGTATTTGGAAACATTTCGAAAGGGCTCGAAATACCACAAGCATATCCAGGTTTAGTGCAGGTAAACTTGGAGCTGTGCAGGTATCCCTGATGTCTACCTGCACCTAACCTGCATTGGTCCATGTACTGGGTATATGCAGGTTTTAGTGCAGGTAAAATTGGAGCTGTGCAGGTATTTCTGAT